GGAANTCAGTACTGAACCAAGGTTAAACGAAGTTGGGGCAACGGGCCCTTAATATTGTTACGAGTAAGCATTGCACATGAGAATTATTGTGTTACTTATTATTTATTAATTATAAACTGTTATTAATTTTAGAGCTCTGTTGACGACCTCAATAAAGGTTGAAAGATTGGCATAAGTTACAAAACCTACTTGTTTTTGATGATCACTGATCTCGAACTTACCGGTGATATTTTGACGGTCGATTCATCCTTCCTTTGTATCAATAATTTGTTTTTATTCACCCTTGTAATAGTAATTTATGTTTGTATTGGACGTTTTCATTGTATCTAACCTAAATAAATTTAGTTTGAAGAACCTACGTAAACCCGAATACCAATAATTAAATTGTAATTGATTAAACTACCTATATTTGAAATTATTTTTTTAAATATATTGTTTCGTTAATCGATTTTGTCATTTGGTTGGGCTAAGCGACAACCACGTGTCAAGCTGTGGAGAAAAAAGCTGAACATAACACATCTGATACTGGAAAACACGCTGACCTGTTCTAATCAGCTCACTGGTTAATTACAAATTTCTGAATGCGTTTTATCTCGTTCATCTCTTTTTTATTCTCTCATACCCGAGTCGGGCCGGAATTGCAAATCTGCAGGTCACAGGTAGATTGAAACTTAACATAATCCCTGGATTTTAGAAGGAATCCGATGGGCGGAGGGGTAATGCGGACACGGAGTGTTTCCGCTAAGACGGCTTAGCCGTTAGGGTTTGACCGGAATAAGTTAAACACCATTAACTACGGTCCGGGTGTACACTCAGATTTCCATATTGATTCTAGCCATTTTCCCCGCACAACCAACTGCATAAATATCGATGAAGGGCACATGTTATACAAATCATGTACAAACATGGCTTCCCGCCTTGAAAACCAAAAACGAAAAGCTAAACCAAAATTAAAAACTGAAGACTATTATAAAAAATAAGTATTACTTTACCATAACATCATTGTTTGTATTGATTTTCAATAACTGGCTTATATATCCTACATAAATATTTACAATATTTCATATTATTTCGGAAGTAGTGAGAGATTTTGTAAGCATGTTCTTCATAAAATAATTTTAAAGCAATCACAACAATTGAACTTAGAACCGTCAACGAAACAAAAACAAGAATCATAATTCCGATCGGGCAATCGAAATCAACATTTCGATTAAAGAACGACCCCAATTTTAAACAAGGGGGTTTCTTATCACCTCCCTTTTCTCAATATACATCAATGATTTTTATTTTACAAACAGGTGACAATATGTTAATTGGATGTTAATTTTTTTCTATTTTACGCAGACGATATAGCCTTGGCAGAATTCTATTGACTATTAAATATTCTGCCACAAAATCTTCTACGTATATTAATATAGGTTTCTTTTTGTGTGAAAGTATTTATTAGTGTAAGTGGAGTGTTATCTCTATTCATTTACGTTTTGACCAAGTTACATCTTTCGATTAGTTTTTCTTTCCATGTAAGGTCTTGGTTCAGATAAAAAAGTCAGTGTCGATAAATTTATAAATACTCAATTAATTATACACAATTTTTTTCGAAATGAAAAATTTGTGTCACAGGCGGGATTCGAACCCACGACATTCGGGTAAATACGCCACTACTCTACCGCTTGAGCTATCGAGAAATCGATCAAGGAAGGTTCAAATGGTTGTAGGTTGAGATGGAAAGTTTGTGTCTGAGTGGATCGAAGTCTCGATAGCTCAAGTGGTAGAGTAGCGGCGTATTTAGTCGAAAGTCTTGGGTTCGAATCCCGCTCGTGACACTGACTTTATCTCAACCAAGAACTTACAATGAAAGAATAATTTATGCAGGTAACAAGCATAGAGAGCATTATGTGCGGTGCTCTATATTCCTTCCCAAAATAACTTAGAAATACTAAAAACACTCAAGCTAATAAATACATCCATAACAACCCTTTTTAAACAGTATGTGCAGTTAAAAGAAAATGCGAAACTTGTCAAATTTGACATTACGCCTTTGCATTACCCTTTGATAGCTATCTAAAAATAAGCCTATAAACCCAACCTCACAAATACAAAACACTCAAGCTTATAAATTCGTTCACTCCATAAAGAAAAACCACTTGGGTAAGAGTCTTCATGTAAGAATTTTATATTTATAATACATTTTATTAGCCAAAAATAAAATCATTTACAATTGGTTAACCCTTGAAAAAAAAAAAATAATCCACGTGGAATTGAGCTTGAGGAAAAATATATTTTCATAGCATAAACTGAATAAAATAAAAATAAATAATTAAATAAAAATTTAACATGCAGAATATTAGGTTAGCTAAAGTTTATGTTTATGAGTCATATAATTTATTTTATTTAAATAAATAAAAACTGGAAAGATTTTTAAATTTAAAATTACCTTCATTAAATTCACTAATTTCGTGGTCCGCTTGACCAATTAATACATTACAATTAATTAAGGTTTTTAGTTGAGATAAAAAAAGTCAATGGCACGAGCGGGATTCGAACCCACGATCTTCGGCTAGATACGCCGCTGCTCTAACACTTGAGCTATCGTGACCTCGATCCACTCGGACACCAACTTCTCATCTCAACCCCACCTTTTGAGTTTTCCCTCCTTTTTGGCATATTTCAAGTGGTAGAGCAGCGGCGTATCTAGCCGAAGATCGTGTGGTCGAATCCCGTTCGTGCCATTTTTTATCTCAACTAAAAACCTTAATTAATTGTAATTTAAAATTACCTGAGTAATTTTTAGGCAAAATGATAAACATTTTTATTAAACCAATTTCCAATATCAGGTTAACACATAATAAATAAATAAATATTTTTTTAACATTAAACACTGATAAATCATGAAATAGTGAAAATTTACTGTAAGTTGTTTTTTAATTAATAGTTAAACAGTTTTTACAAGCAAAAAGTAACTGATTTATATGATCTAACACGCAATCCCAAACTATTAATTCATCGGTGAAAAATAGATTACTTTTGACATTTAGAAATGTAAAATATCTTCTTAAAAAGTTTAAAATTATATTTTTATATAGTATTTTTTCAGCTTTCAACAGGTTAGTGAAACCTTACATTGTTGGAATTTCAAATTCGAATAAAGTTTTTCCAAAATGCATAAATTCATCGATAAATTTTATAACTTAAGAATAATATTTTTTTATAGTCATCTGTGAAAAAGGTTTATAATTTTTGAACTAACTTTTAAATTATTTATTAAAATTGGTGGTAATAATTTTAAAGATAAACTGTTATGGGTACAAAATTTTTTAGGATATACATATTTAATATTCTTCATATCTAGACAGAATATTTTTTTGGCTATAACTGACTGACTATTGAAAAGTCATCCAAAAAATTGGGTAGTAATTCATTAAAAAGTGGAGTAAAATAACCTCGAGGTGTAGGACTTTAGCGATGTACGACGGAAAAATTAAAACTTTCGAACTAGAAGTGAGCTGGACGTGTCACTACAAAAAAAAAAAGAAGGCAAATACACTTCAAAAGCCGCAAACTCCAGGCCACTTATCAACCAGCGAAAAGTTGTGGGACAGGACGGAAAACTTTTTTCAACGAAGTACGCAGAAGGAGAAACCGTCGGACAGAGAGGAATTGAGATATATACGAGAAGTCTTGGCCTAATTGGGTCGATTTATAAATACAAAATAAACCTAGTGAGTTTAAAGTCATATAATAAAAATTTATAAATAATGTGTGGTGATTAGTAGTAGATTAGTCGATAATTATTCAGAAATCGTGAGATGCAGTCTGGTGTGATGTAGGTTTCAGAAAAACATTTTCTTTATCGTGCCAACGTTTCAATCTTTATTGAGATCATCTTCAGGGCCTGGGATTTACAAACATTGTTTACATATTAAAATTACAATTTGGATGTGGAAAAGTGAATTTATACAATGCAAAATATATTTTATATATTCAATCTGAGACACCGTATCTCACAATTTCTGAATTGCTATAAATAATAAAGAAATTATAAACTAAAATTAATAAAAAATGATATGCCGTTACATTCTGTTTCACTGACCTTACGAAAAATATTATCTGGAAGTCTGGCGAAGAATAGTGAAAGGGAAATAAAAGTGTATTAATAAATTAGGAAAGTACTTTATTTATAAATGGAAATACAACATTACAAATAAATTCATTAATTTCGTGGTCCGCTTGACCAATTAATATATTACAATTAATTACGGTTTTTAGTTGAGTTAAAAAAGCCAGTTTCACGAGCGGGATTCGAACCCACGACCTTCGGCTAGATACGCCGCTGCTCTACCACTTTGAAAAATGGCAAAAAGGAGGGAAACTCAAAAGGTGGGGTTGAGATGGGAAGTTAGTGTCCGAGTGGATCGAGGTCACGATAGCTCAAGTGGCTCGTGACACTGGCTTTTTTATCTCAACTAAAAACCTTAATTAATTGTATTATACATAAAAAGTTCTTTTGGGAAGGAAAAGTATGGGTTTTGGGCAGTAGTGTTCGAAAGGTTAGAAAGCTTGCTGTGGAATTTTTTGAAGAGAAAAACTTTTGATAAAAAAATTAAAACTTGTTGGTGATTGATTACAATAATTAACAATATAATTTTAACCTATAAAATTGATTGAAAAAATCCTAAATTTTAGAAAACATTTCGTTGTAAAATTATCCGAACTGGATAAGATTCCATATTTTTGCATTTTATTGCCCCAATAAAAATATATCATGTGAGTTATGAGTCCACTTTATACTTTAATCTGGTTTTACGACAGGTTTAATCCTCTTACAAACTTAAAACAACGTTGACGCTCTACCGGCTAATGATTCATTATATCCTGATAACTAAGGATTTTTGTGTTAAACAACATATCAAATCCCCAATGCAGATTAATCCCGCTTAATTTCTAACGATCGATTATCGGACTTGATTGAAATGTTAATTATTTAATTATCTTTTTTTCAGGTTGCGAATGTCTCGTGTTTTCGAGCACCTTTGGCAAGGACCAGGGGAAGTTCAGCAGTCCCGATTTCCCGAAGCCGTATCCGAACGATATCAACTGCATTCTGTACACGTTCATCGCCGGCTCACATGAAATCATCGAGCTGACCTTTACGGATTTCAGCGTGGGAACTGCTGGAAAAGAGTGAGTAGACGAGGAAATGTACACACATGGTTTTATGTTTGTACAGTATCGAAACATCCATTTATTTAAATACAAATGGCTATTAAATGTAATTGTTTATGACTTACCGTGATATTTACCTTTCTCTATGAGGCCTCGGTGGCCGCAACAGTTTAATCCTGCATTTAAACGCGACTTATTTCAAAATGAGCTTTTTTTTTCAAAAATACAAGTTGATAAGACCTCTGCTCTTGTGAATACTTGTTAAAAAAATCTTTCTCAGTGTTACATATGGTCGTTACAAGACGTCAATATTTCAGCAAGTTCTCCTAAATTTTAGATTGAACTAATAACTATTTTCCAAATATCAACTTCATCTTCAAAAAGTTATTACTAATGACTACCAATTTGAGAATCGAACAAGACATCCACCAAGTAACAGACTTATTAGAACATTCCCTCAATGAAAAAAAATTCTTCAAACTTTTGACAAGATCTTGCAAGAAGGACTCATCTCTAAGCAAAAAATAATATGTAGATATCAGTTCGTATCTAAGTGATATATAATTGAGAGTCAAACAAGAAGATTCAGGATTAAAAACAATAAATGCAAGAGTGTCACATGGTAGAATATTAGGTCCACTACTTTACTCGGTATAAACCAGTTTCGAAAATAGAAACAAGGTAAATTTCCAAAGGTTTCTTAGGGCGGATTTATAGAATTTTTTAAGGGGAAGAAGGTCACGTTTAGGAATTTTGCTGTGATTTAGTCATAACTGGGAGATTTTTCACGGGGAAGTTTTAAGTGTAAAACTTTAAAACAACTCTGATAACGCCTGTGCCGCTTCGACATCAAGGCTACGCAAGCCGTTACATAACATTAATAAATCTAGTCTACATAAACCTGGGCACTTTTTAAAAAATATTGAGTTTATTCAAACCGATATTGAAAAAGAACTATGCACATATTTAAAAATCACTCACTTTTTATCCGTTTCAATTAGAAACGGATTTAAGACAACGGGACACCTCGGCAGGAGTATCTGATCATCAGAAATCATCAGATTACGGAACATTTAACTCCTCAATTGTGGCTGGTAAATCGCAAGGGGTTGCCTACGAATCCCAGCTCTCGGCTTGGAATAATTAGCACCATCGACCTGATCAGTCGATGCCGTCTTGAATAATTTTCAAATTCTGAACCAAATCATGACTTTATTAATACTTAATCGTTCAGCTGTTAAGCTTTAAAAAATCTTCAGGCTCATGGAGACAGGAAACAATATTCTGTCTTTTCAAGCTTTTTCCCAAAAACATAAATAAATAAACGAGATTCACAGTTTTTCATATTTTATACTAACGAGAAAGTTAAGTTGTCTGTCTATAACCAAACTATGTCATAAAATTATTTATATTATTTTCGTGTAAGTTCGTGCGATGCGTTCTAGTGTGCTGAAGATATTGAAAAAGGTGTGGTGTTTAGTGACCGTTACTTAATGATTATTTGGAGGTTGTGAGATGCGCTCTGGTGTGACGTAGGTTTTAGAAAAACGTTTTCTTTACCGTGCCAACGTTTCGACCTTTATTGAAAACATCTTCAGGGCTCAAAATGTTTGTTTTCCGTGTAGATGTGTCATTCTTGTCTGTCGTGTTGAGAGTGTTTTTTAAACATTTGTGAGAAATTTTAAACGTTTCTAATATTTTTACTTATTATAATAAAAATATATGGACAAACAACGACTTCAGAAATGATTATTATAACTACATAAAAATGTAGTAATCAATTACATATCGAGGCGGGACATCAACAGTTACGCAACACAGTTGAGTTATGCGGGTTTAGCATATTTAACGCCTTTTTGTTTGTAGTGGGGTTCTCGGAGTTCGATAGCGGTTTTGAGTTCGAATCCCACCATAGCCGTTAAAATATTACTTTAGATTAATTTAAAAAAAACATTTTCTTTATCGTGCAACGTTTCGATCTGTACTGAGATCATCTTCAGGGCCTGGGATATATAAACATTGTTTAATTACATAAATGCATGTTGGATGAAAAAATGAATTTATACAAAGCTAGAAATTTTGGACTCAATCAAAGTATTTGTACGTTAAATTTCTAGCATTGTATAAATTCATTTTTTCACATCCTACATATATTGCTACATTTAAATAATGTTTATAAATCCCAATCCCTGAAGATGATCTCAATAAAGATCGAAACGTTGGCGCATTAAAAAAAAATGTGTTTCTAAACCTACGTCACACCAGACCGCTTCTCACGATTTCCAAATAATCATTAATGGTCGTTTAATGGTCATTAAACATCACATATTGTTCGATATGTTGTATTATATGTTTTGTGTGTTATATGTTTATGTATATGTGTATAGGTATATGTGTATATGTATATGTGTATAGGTATAGGTGTATATGTTTATGTGTATATGTATATGTGTATATGTATATGTGTATATGTATATGTGTATATGTATATGTGTATATGTATATGTGTATATGTATATGTATATATGTATATGTATATATGTATATGTGTATATGTATATGTTATGTGATTGAATATGATTAATTATTAGCGTAGCTGCGACTGTATTTACTGTTCTTTAATTGATACTGTGTTTATATCTGTTGATGTAAACCATTTCTAAAAAGTTACGTTTATGTTTGTTTTATTCATGTTTTATATTTTTGGACTGTTGAAATCTAAGTTGTGTTGGTGTTCAAATTGGTGGTAGCCAGTGCAGTAGAATTTTGTTTGGTTTTTCTGCCATCATAGATATGCTGTTTTACCCACTTAGATATTGGTATGTAATTCCAATTAAGTTGCCGGACAATTTATACAATCGATTTTGTAAATTACATCAGACTTATTTGTAACTGGTGTAGGATCATTAATTTTTGAAAAAAGAATGTGTATGATTTTATAGTTTTTAAAGGCTATTTAATAAATAGAATTTTTTTTAGAGTTTATGACAAGCTATTTCATAAAGGCCGCCAAAGCGACATAAACAATCAATAAGGCAGAGTTCCAACGATTGAGGAGGCAGGCCTAAGGCGGAGCCACGCTGAATCGGAGAGTTGCTGTTCTGTCGCTTTAAGTTTTAGAAAAAAAAGAAAGTAAAAAAAAAATTGTGTGACGTTAAAGACTCAAAGACTGCTTGTGTTGGATTCTTCGTCGATTGGTGCCCATTGTAACAAGGTTCTTTACATTAATTTCACTAATTTCGTGGTCCGCTTGACCAATTAATACATTACAATTAATACTATATTTTATCAGCTTCTATTAAATTTATAAATACTCAATGAATTATACACAATTTTTTTCGAAATGAAAAATTTGTGTCACAGGCGGGATTCGAACTTACGACTTTAGGCTAAATACGCCGCTGCTCTACCACTTGAGCTACCGTGACTTCGATCGCCCATGCCACAAACTTCTCATTTCGACTACCCGATTTTATTATAATTATAAGCAAATCGCGGTTTCATATAGAAACACTTTTTATTAACGATTATACTAGATTATCGGGACTGTGTACGATTCACAGGTGTGATTCTAGATTAATATTAAATTTTATCAGCTTCTATTAAATTTATAAATACTCAATTAATTATAATTATTTAGCCGAAAGTCGTGGGTTCGAATTCCGCCTGCGACACAAATTTTTCATTTCGAAAAAAATTGTATAATTAATTGAGTATTTATACATTACAATTAATTAATAAGATAAAAAACTGGCAGTGATAAAAAAAATGGCAAAAAGGAGGGAAAATTCAAAAGGTGGGGTTGAGATGGGAAGTTAGTGTCCGAGTGGATCGAGGTCACGATAGCTAAAGTGGTAGAGCAGCGGCGTATATAGCCGAAGATCGTGGGTTCAAATCCCGCTCGTGCCATTGACTTTTTTATCTCAACTACAAACCTTAATTAATTGTTCTTTACATTATTGTTACATTTTTCTTTACATTGTTTGCATCTTGTCTAGAGAAAAGGATATTAAAAAAAACTTTACACTTTGTTATATGAACTAAATTTTGGTGATAACAAAATATTCTCTTTCCTTCTTAGTTTCTCTATAATAAGTAACTTTTTGATGACATTTTATTTATTCTATTTTTTTTTTGTAAATAAGAACTTTTTTATGTTAAACAGCTATTAACCTGTTTTTTTACAAGCATATTAATCCCCCAACGTCATAAATACGCTCTCACAACGTTATAAATACTGGCAGGCCTGCCGCTGTCCTCTAGTCTGCCTCCTCAATCGTTGGAACTCTGCCTCATTGATTGTTTATGTCGCTTTGGCGGCCTTTATGAAATGCCTTGTCATAAGTTGGCCAATTTTACTTTAGCTGTAATGAATGAGTTTTCTCGAAATTCTTCATGAAATTTTAATAGAGTCGATTCTATTTTTCTATATCAATTTGTAAAGATATTCAACGGAGAAACGTAACAGCAATCAAAATGCCAAATTTCACAAATAGCTTGCGTCCACCGTCGTTCTCCGATAATGAAACCTATCCTTCCACGGCCCACTGCTTTCAGCCATTCGCCGGCTTTTAATGAAATGTCGAAACTTGAGCCCTGCGTGTTGAATTTAATTAAGCAACTGTCGCCAGTTTACAAAACACTTTTGAGACGGGAGTGTCCGTATAAAAAGACGTATCTACTACTGTCATTACTCAATTGTTGTAATGCGTTTAAAAAAAATTGATGATTGTTTTATACCACATGAAAAAAACCGTATTGTTTTATTCGTAATCACAATAACAAAGACCCTCTTTTATACCAATTTTTAAGAAAGGTTAACAAAGCAATACTCAAACATATCGTCCATTATTCTAAATGCAATTCCTTGAGTCATGTTATTACTAATACTACCATATGGTTAAGTTATTGCTTACAACATAATCATAAAATTATGTTGCTAATACTACCAATACATACATTTTATTGTCACTCCCAAAATTGCCGATAAAGGTTTAGTGAAAACTGGAGTAAATAAAATAAAGTTTGGTCTGTCTTCATTCACGGTTTTGTTGAATTATTCAAACACGTTTCGGCATTGAGCCATCATCAGGGAGGAACTGTTACAATTGAACAGAAAACATGCCGGTACAACGTAAGGATGGTACTTCGCATAAAGTACTTTTACCAGCTTTAAAAGATTCTAAGAGACAATTAATTAAGGGTTTTTTTTAGTTGAGATAAAAAAGTCAATGGCAGGAGCGGGATTCGAACCCACGATCTTCGGCTAGATACACAGCTGCTCTACCACTTGAGTTATCGTGACCTCGATCTATACGGACACCAACCTCCCATCTCAGCCACACCTTTTGAATTTTCCCTCTTTTTTGCCATTTTTACGATACTAACAGAGTACAATCGTCCTTCGCAAAAAATGAATTATCATACTTACTTATCTCAATTGTTTCTACAAAACAAATACCGAGTGGACGTAAGTTAGGAATAAACAATAAAGGGTTAATGCGCCGCATACAGGACTAATGAAATTGCCTATCACATTACTGAACGGACATAAAAATATGTAAAAATACATAATTCAGTTTGTTCTGTCAACAATCGGGACTAGTTTTCTAATAATCTAAGGGATTAGATGAGTGAATAGGCCGTCGTACTACATCGATTAGCGACGCTCGCGGTCCTGGGTTCGAACCTGGCACAACCCCTGGATTTTTAATTGAGAATAATATGATAATTGTATTGTAAAATGGTTTGTCCTTTAAAACCTCTGGTTAAAACCTCCTGTAAGCCTGGAATCATCGTACTTTACGTTTTTTGTCTGTCTAATTGGCTGCAAACTTCCCAAATCTAATTAGGATTTGTGTTAAATGTACTTTTAATGTGAACTGGTTCTACCGAAGGAGTAAGCTTTAACAATTATTTTATTAAATTCCCATTTACGTATTTATTCCAGTTCTCCTAAAACTTTACCACTATAAAAAGTAAAATCTGTTGTGTCTTCTTTTGCAGGTGCGTCTTAGAAAAATTGTGATAGCTTATTTCTAAGAGGTATTTTCTAATTTTCTTAAGTCTGGTCTTGCAGATTCTTTTGTATGTAATCTGGTCGCTTCCAAAATCTCCACAATATGGAAATACGTAAAATTTGGAAAAAGTTTTAGTTGTCCAAAACAACTTGATTTTAGAATCAAACGGCGGTTTGATCATCTGCAAATGTCACTGGGAGTGTATATATATATAT